GAAAGAAAGAAAGAAAGAAAGAAAGAAAGAAAGAAAGAAAGAAAGAAAGAAAGAAAGAAAGAAAGAAAGAAGAAATTACTTACCCAGAAACATCTATATACCGGATATTTTTATTCAGGCCATCAATGATTTTCATGTCCTCTGAAGTCAACTGAAATTCAAAAACCTATCATACAAAAGGAACTTGATTATGATATTTAGACTTCATATTTGCTAGTCTGTCTATTACAAATTAACCACACTAAATGGTGCAGATAAACTGTTTAATATATTGAAGAAAGTAAAAACATGTTCATTAAAGCATTCAAGTGATGAATACTATATATGAAAGTAGCCTTCCTTTGTAAAGAGGATAAAAAGGCTGAGAAAGAAATTAGGGAAACAACACCCTTCACAGTAGTCACAAAAAAAATATAAAATATTGTGGTGTAGCTCTAATCAAGCAAGTGGAAGATCTGTATGACATGTACTTCAAGTCTCTGCAGAAAGAAATCGAGGAAGACATCAGAAAAAAATCTTGCATAGTTATAGATCAGTAGAATTAACATAGTGAAAATGTTCATCTTACTAAAAACAATCTATAGATTCAATGCAATCACCATCAAAATTCCAACTAAATTTTTATCAGAGATAGAAAGGGCAATTCTCATATTCATATGCAATAACAATAAACTCAGAAGAGGAAAAAGAATTCTCAACAATAAAAGAACTTCTGGAGAAATCACCATTTAAACCTCAAGCTCTTCTATAGAGTAATAGTGATAAAAATCACTCTTTACTGGTACAGAGACAAACAGGTCGATCAGTGGAATAGAGTTAAAGACCCAGAATTAAGCCCACATCTATAGACACTTGATCTTTGACAAAGAAGTAAAACCATATAGTGAAGAAAAGGAAGTATCTTCAACAAATGGTACTGGACTAACTCGAGATCTGCCTGTAGAAGAATCTAATTCCTGAATTAAAATGTAGAGTGTCATATACAAAGTAAGGTGAAGAAGGAGCAAACACACTATAATTCCAAGCTTGACCTTAACCATGTTCTTTGTAGGTTCAAAAGAAACTAAGCACAGTTGTTTAAGTTTCTAACATAATGCAGTAGTTGTCATTGATAAAAAGTTTTATTTATTTTAATTTAAATTTTTTTCATACAATATTTTTACCACATTTTCCCTTCCCCAATATTTTCTGAATCCCTCTCACCTCCATACCTACCCATTTTAGTCTCTAAAAAAATAAATAAAAAATAAATAAAAAGAACAAAATAAACTAAAATTTAGTAAGATAAAAATATCAAAACAAAATCTCAGTAAATATTTATACAGTTCATTTTGTTATAGTAAACTATTCCTAGGCATGCAGCCTGCCTTTGTATATAGTTGATACTCCTTAGGTGAAAAATGATATTCTCTTTTCCACCAGGTTTCAGTGGTAAATAACTTCTTCTAATTGGTCAGGCGGGACTGTATGGGTTGTGGGGGACACCCTCATATAAGCAGGGGAGGAGGATAGAATAGGGGGTTTGCAGAGGGGAAGCCAGGAAAGAGGATAACAGTTGAAATGTGAATCAAAAAAATATGCAATAAGATAATTTAAAAATAAATAAATCATGAGTGTTCCGAAAAATATAAACTATACCACATATAATTTAAAGAATGAAAGTCACATAATCTCAGTGGCCTCGTTTCAGAAAATGAAGAAGAAAACATGCCACTCACTTAAGGTTAAATTTCCAATGTAATGCTAAGATAAAATCTTACTGTAAATTGTGGTCTTTCTGTGGAACAGGATTTAAAGTTCCTGGAGATGCCCTTAAAGCACAGATGTACAGGAAATGTAAAAAGACTCACTAGGGTTATAGGGCTTTCAACAGAGTACAAAAGACAATTCTGTGTAGGTGCCTAGCACCCACAGCAACTCATCACCTGCATGTTCTCTTTAATCCTCTTCTCTGTGAAACTCTTGGCCAGCACCACAACCCCTCGTTGCAGCTGGTAGCGAAGGGCAATCAGGGCAGGAGTTCGCTTGTACTTTTTTGCCATGGAGCCAAGAACTGGATCATCCAAAAGAACAGGACTGCTCTGGTTAACCCTGGATGAGAGGTAGAAATGTTAAATTGCTTTTCCTAACTCTTTGATTTGTTAGAAGAATTCTAATACATAAGGAAGTTGATATATAGGCTAGGGATTCCAGTGTGTGGAATTATAAAAACATTGTGGTTTTATTCTACATTAAATGAAAGTTCCCCATGTTTTCACTTCATTTCAGAATAAACTATAGTAAATAAGATTTAAAAACATTTATTCAACAATGTTTTCCTTTAATTTGACTCTCATTGTCCATATTACCATTCTTTGTCACGATGACTTCCCAGAGCACTGTAAGCAACCAGAACAATATCTTTGGACTTGCAGAAATCCAGAAGTTTTCTTTGGTTGAGATAAGGATGACATTCTACCTGTAGAAAAAATTAAATCCATCCAACTACTGGCAAAAATAACAATAAATGATTTTTTACTTAAATTAAAAAGAAAAACAGCCAACTAAGGAATTCTGAGAATATGAGAAATTCTCTTCCCCAATGAAAGGCATACCAGTCAGTTATATGATACCAAATGATCAGTCCTTAAAACATATGCATATAAGTATATACAAACTGAATAGGCTGTATTCATGGATTTATATATAGGTATATATTGATCTATAAACACACATACATATGTGTATACAACAGCAATTAATCAAAAATAAAATCTTACAAACTGAATTTGAATGAGAAAAATTGGTATATGGGAGGATTTGTAGGGAAGAAAAGATATAGAAGAAATAAGAAATAAACACACGTAAAGAGCACTCATACTCCCCAGGCAGTAGTAATCACTTCAAATGATTTCTTTCTAAAAACAACAATTATGAAAATTGTTAAAGTTTACTCTGTCTTGCAGAAATAATTATACCAGACTAAAATTGTCAAAGTATGTCTCAGGTAAGAAATGTCTAAAAAGTAGTTAAAAATGAAATGTTTTCCAAATAACAGAAATTGTCTGTCTCAGACAAAATCATTGATGGATTCTCAAAAAATTGATGTGAGAATTGGACATGAAATAAATTATAAATATATGTGGGATTTAGGTCACAGTTTGCAATAAATAAACTTTACTATTTCCTTCAATGTTGCTAAAAAATAATTCTGAGGACAAGGCATTGACACAATAAATGTACTTCTGATGGCAGAAATCAGAGAAATTCAAAGATGCTAAAGAATGGATCATCTAAAAGCTTTGCTCGGATTCTAGTGTTATTTCTTTCCCCCATTGGCACCTAGCAGCATCAGAGGAAGAAAGGTATGAACAGGAAAGACAAGGGGCTGAGGATCCGCACCTGGTTGCACACAGGCTTGTACTTGAGCCCAGGCTTGTTCAGGATCCTCTCCAGCTGTCTGCGGTTAAAGTTGGACACTCCGATGGACTTGGCCAATCCTGCATCCTTGCATTTCTCCATGGCCTAGAGAGGAAAATATGCCAAAATAAAGGCTAGTATAAATGAAAAACTGAGGGATGAAGAGATGGCCCAGCCACCAAGACCACTGGCGGCTCTTCCAGAGGACATAGTTTCAATTCCCAGCACCCACATGGTGGCTTGCAACTACCTGTAACTACAGTTCCATGGCATCTAACACCTTCACACAGATGTACCCCACACAGGAATGAGGACAAACCCCAATACAGATAAAAATAACTAAATTAGAAAATGAAAAACTCGGGACTGGAAAGATTGTTCAGTGGTTATGAGCACTAACTGCTCTGGGGTCCTGAGTTCAATTCCCAGCAACCACATGGAGCTCATAACCATCTACAATGAGATCTGGTGCCCTCTTCTGGCTTGCAGGCATACAAGCAGACAAAAACTGTATACATAATAAATCTTTAAAAAAATGAAAAACTCATAATGTTAGAAAGAATATAATAAAAAATAAAAGTTGAACCTCTTGGTTTTATTTTTTAGGAAAAATAAAACAGTAAGAAAAATGATACTGTTATTAAGAGGACCTTGATCTATCTCTAGCCAATTAGTGTCTTTGTCATCATTTTAGTAAGACCTCTCTTTCATTTATATTATGTCACAGTCACATACAGTCCCCACATCTAAAGTAATCCAGCCCTTATAAAGAACATTAGTTTTTATATCAGCATGCACACCTCACTCTAACAAGTTCTGAGGCTCTGCTCCCTCACTGTACTTCCTGCTGTGCTCTCTAACCCCAGTACTCACTTCCCAGGTATCACAGATATCCACTGCATCATATATGAATTTCCCATTCTCATCTTTTGGAAGCAAACTCTCTCCAGGCTGGAATAGAGACAAATGTCAAGTAATCTCTTAACAAATGCATTTTCCCACAATAACAACGCTGGTCTAAGAGAGGACTGTGAGTAGACATTCTAGCAGGTGAGTGACCATGTTTCATGTAACACTTGTCCTATGTCCTGAATGTAGATTTGTAAAGAATGCCCTTGAGGGCCACATGTCTTTCCTTTTAACATAATTTTGTTTTAACAGAGAAATTATTTCTGGGTACTTAGACTATCTTGCTTGACTTACATTTCTGTTCAATGCCACCTTTACTTAGAAATTTGCCAAGAATGTGGCAGTGATTTCCACCAACAATAAATTCCACTATTGACCTATAGTAAAAAAATCAGTCTTCCTCATTATTATGTGCTTAAGGCCTGGCCAGTGAACAAAAGATGAGAAGACAGGGCTGTTGGATTTTGTTTTGTCGTTTTCTTTCTGTTTGTTTGTTTAGTGTGTGTTTCTTGTGCATGCATGAGTTTGTGTGTGTGTGCATTGCGCATGTGTGTATGTGTGTGTGTGTATTTGTTTAGCCTGTGTGGGCATGTGTGTGTGTGTGTGTGTGTGTGTGTGTGGTGTACCTGTGCATATGTGTGTGTGTGGTGCACATGTGTGTATGAGACAACTATGAAGGTCCTGATAAAGGCTATAGAAAGTGAGGTCCCTTGGAGCTGAAGTCACAGTCAATTATGAACTGCCTGAAGTGGGAGCCAGAAACTGAGCTAAGGTCTTAGGCACGGCCAGAAAGTGCTCTTAACCACTGAGCCATCTCTCCAGCACTAGAGTGGTATATTTAAAAACTCTTTGATGATGCAAAATACAGGGAATCCAACAGATGTCAAAGAACTAGAACTTCAAACTACCTCAAGGCTAAATGTGTCACCAATGGAAATTGCTGAAATAAAAATTAAGGAAATATGGAGCTGGAATGCTCAATAATCAAGAGTACTTGCTGCACTTCCAGAGGATACAGGTCCAATTTTTAGACCCATGGGGTAGTTGGTAACTCTTTATAACTCTTAGATCAGTTGAATCAATATCATCTTTTGGCTTCATTGTCTGCTAGGTAAAGACATGGTACAAGATATACATGCACACAAAACACATACATAAAATAAAAGAAGAAACACTTTTTAAAAAGCCTTAGCAATTTTATAGTAATATAGGAATTCAAAAGCAGAGGCATTTTAAAGACTTCTTAGAATGCCAAACTGTTAATGACTTAGACACTTCAGTTTCATCATCTTATCAACTCCTTGAGGAAAACATTTGGAATGCTTTCTAAAATTAACTGAACTATACTTTTAAATTTTATAAAATTCAACCAACCAGAAAACTTCTAAATTTGAGCTGAAATTTCTTGGTGATCCAATCTACATACCTTCATGGCCATTGGGAAATGAATGAGATACAGGTCCACATAGTCCAACTGGAGTTGCTTCAATGACTGTTCCAAGCAGTCCTGTACCAGTCTTGGATGATGAAAAGTACACCAAACCTTACAAAATTGAAGAACAGATCTCACATTAAATTATTGAATTTCCAGAATTTGCTCAGTTACTTTTCCTAACACAGAGACTGGTGTGACATTGACAACCATGGGAGAAAATATTCATCCTCTTCTTGATTTTTTTTCCATCTAAACAAGCCACAAATCTCTATTCAATATCTATTCATAATGAGTTAATTGAGAAAGTTACTCAAGTCCCCAATGCCTTCAAGTAATAATAATTTATCCTCAAACTTGTTTTTCACTGAGTTTATAAAAGGCTTTAAGCGTCTAATACACTATAACTCTTCTTGCATATTCATTATGATGTGTTGTGTTTGGTTAACATGTATTAAGTTATTCTGACATCCCCCCTTAACTATTGTTTATAATGGAAATATTCCTTGTGTAACTGTCTTGGGGATGGCCCAAGCTGCCCAAGAACACTATGGGTCAACTACTTTATAGAAAAGCAACAGCAAGGAAGCAATTGTTTTCTAGAACATAGTGCTTTGTGCTCTTCTAGGTTTAAATAGCCATTTGAAATCCTTGTAAAATGACAGTAGTAACACTGGGTACCCTGCATTTGATCGCTCTGAATCGTTTGTTGGGATTAATTTCGAGTCCAAGGTCTTTTTATTAAAATCATTGATGATGAAATGATTAAGTGTCATGTGTGCTTTAAAGCTTCTCTAACCTTCACCTGAGCAGAAAGGAATGTGACTCTGTCTATATAAAGAGAAGTTGAATAAAAATGTGCAAACTCAAAATAACCCATGGAGGGCTGGAGAGAAGTTTTATCAAGAGAGCATTTGCTCCTTTTGTAGACACATGGCAGTTCACAATCATCTTTCACTCTAGTTATAGGGGATCTGATGCTCTCTTCTGGTCTTAACTCTAGTTATAAGGGATTTGATGCCTCCATCTGGTCTCTGCAGGTACCTCTGCAGGCTAACTCATGGTACACATATATCCATGCAGTCCAGACACTAATACATTTATAGTAAATAAATAGTTTTAAAAGCATACATGGGGGAAGAAAGATAACCTATAAATGAAATTATTGGACAGTTTTATTAGTCAGATAACATGCATTTAGGAGGATTGCAAAATACTATTTATACTAATAGTGAGATGTACATATTTCTAGTCTCTATATTTCAATTTCCTCTTAATAAAAAGTGGCATGATGAACAGTATCATCCTTAAGGTTATTTAACTTAGTTAGAGTAAGAAAATTTTCAAAATATTGACATGGTCTGATCTTTCACTTTGAAATCATGCCTTTCTGTAATTGCAAAAAAATTAACAATAAAAAACATATATAATTTTAGTTTATAGAAAATTACTTAGGAAATAAATACTGAAATATAATTCTTGAGCACATAGTTATGCGCTACATAATGAAGCTTCAGTTAGCAATGAACCACGCCAATAATGGTAGCCCATCAGACATTTACTGAGCTGATTATTCCCATTGTTGTGGATTGCTCTGGTGCTGTTTATATTTTGATTCTAGTTCTGCTTCCCGAAGAGGGTCTGCCTCCATAAGGAGTGGGTCACATACTCAGGTGATGTAACTGGTCAATAAAGTGGGCAGAAGTCAATCTCTGGGCAAAGGATAAGGTGGGATTTCTGGGTCTAGGAGGAAGAGGAGGAAAGAGAGAGGGAGAGAGAAGACAGACCAGGCTGTGGAGCAGAGAGTAAGCAGTAGAAATGTAGGTCTCTTGGGGCACTAATAGTATGTAGCCTTTCCCACAGGCGGAGGCCAAAGAAAATGGAAAAGGCTACTGTTAAATTAAGATAGGAAATTCTTTGCCCAGCAGTTGTGTTATCTAGCTGATTTAAAAATATTGAGGCTGTCTGGTGTTTTCCATCCTAGGCAACTCAGGTAGGCAGGAGAAAGGGCACAGCTCAGCCAAGGGGCAGTTGTTATAGGTTTGGCAAAGCTATTTGTAGGGGCTGGGTGACATGGCTGTTGTAAGCACTAGGCAAGTTGTAAGTGTGCATTTTAAAATGATGTACAACAACTTCAGAGCCATCAAAACACTACAGCACAATATATTGCTTAGTGTTCTGTGGAGACTGTACCAGTCTCAGAAAAGTATGCCATTCAAAATTCTATATAGTACATAATAGTAAATAATGATTATAACTTAGTAACTTATGAGTGTACCTTTATTTTCTTCTTAAGTTTTCTAGTATTCTTGATCTAATTGTAAAAACTTTTTTTGCTGAAGAAAATAAGAGTCTAATGGACTAGTCAATCAGAATTGGAAGAATTAATGTTTCATTTATATGTCTGAATGGAAAATATATTGAACATCCAATTATTTCCTACATATAGAAGAATGAACATTACTTATATCTTGTTTAATACAGAAAATGCTTTCTTGTAATATTGTATCTTATTTAGAAAAGAGAAAATCAGTATTCAGATCAATGAAAAATTTTTATAGCTATTCAGGAAATTAAAAGAGCCAGTTTTCTTACCCATTCTAAATCATATACTGGTGAACTGATGCTCAGATAAGAAGGTAATTACCATTCCATTGATGAATTTAAAGAAGAGAAACTGAAGCTCACAACTTTGTCTATGTTTACTTCACCAGCATTCACTGACCTAATCATATAAAGATTATTTCAATGCATCATAGTCTATTCACTTGTATACCATATTCTTAATACCTTTGATGTGTAAAATATATCTTCCCTCTTCACAGTGCCATCTGCTATCTTGCTTCGGATGGCTAGTCCTACCTCCTTTTCATTTTGATACAGAGCAGCAGAATCAATATGGCGGAAACCAGCATCTATAGCTATCTTGGTAGCCTCTGTAGCCTTACTTTTAGGTACCTAAAAAAGCAACCAAAAGCAGCATTTAGAAATAGATATGACTTAGAACTTTTAAGGCACAAGAACAAAAGAAACATCTTTTTCAGCATCAAGTTTCCTCATGTCTTCAATAAGGTGTCCATTTGCAGTGAAGAATGCAACCAAGTTTTTCTGGATCTTTCCCACTGAGTCACAAGAGTAAAGCACCCCAGAAATCACTTTAGTTCAGCCAATTCCAAATTAGTCACTGGCATTAGAGTTCCAACTTCAACTCCAGAAACTGATATTTGGTATAATATTGCCTAGATATATGAAGCCATGGAGTTTATACAGGCAAAAAGGACATGATACTACCACATAAAGAAGAAACACTGTAGAATCCTTTATGAGCCTTCTCCCAACGAAGTCACAGTGATGAGACTATATCTAAGTCTCTAACACTGAATTTACAAAAAATGCAAGTGTTTACACAGGAACATTTTACAGTTTTAATTTCTAAGATGATCATTTATAACTTGTTATACAATGACCCTGACTTATTGCATTCCAGATGAAATCATGTACACATGAGACCTACTATTTGCACAGGTAGTTCATGGAAAACTTCCATCCTTATGTTATGAAATAAGAAGATATCAACAATATCATAAAAAGATAACATTATAAAATTAGAAGATGACTAGAGATTATCTAAAATTGTCAAAAGGAATTTGAGGAGATAGCATTATGGTGTAAAGTCTTTTACACAGCTGTTTTATTTGCATAACAAATATTAAAACTATCAGCAAAATGTAAATTCAAAAGAAGAGCTCTATACCTAGAAAATTCAGAACATCATACAGAATAAAGTTATCCATACACATGCCCTCTGTTAAGCTACAATTTTTTATTTTGTAGGAATTGGGATTGGAGTAAAAATTAGTTTTTTATATAGTAGGCTATATTTGAATTAAAAATACAGACTGCATTAAAAATGAAATGAAATGGTAATGTAGTAAGCACATAAGAAAGTTAATTTTATTATATAAATGAAGGCAATTTAGAAAAAAAAATGTGGAATATTTTTCTCCAGTGTTTATTGTCTTCGAGTTTCTATTCCTGTAATCAAACACCATGACCAAAAACAATCGTAGAGAAAAGGGTTCATTTCATCTTACAACACTCATGTCAGACTCCATTACTCAGGGAAATCATAGCAGAAACTCAAGAAACTCGTCCTGGAAGAATGAGCTATTGCAAAGGCAATGCTAGGGTGCTACTTACCAGTGTCCTTGTTTTGGCTTGCTCAGCGTGCTTTCTTATGGAACTCAGGACCACTGGGATCTCCCACATCATTCACTAATTCAGAAAGTTCTCTACAGTCTGATCTTATGGAGGTATTTACTTATTTGACATACCCTCCTCTCAAATGAATTTAGCTTGTGTGAAGATGATATAAAAATACCCAACACATGAACAAGAATAGCACAGTTTAAAAACAGGTGAATATATAGACACACATCTCTACCAAAGAACTGCAAGTGGCCAACAAGCACCTTTTAAAAATATACTCAGTATCAGTGTACATCAGGCAGTGCTCTTGCTGGCTTGATTTCATTTTTTTCTACCTAATTGGGATGGAGAGAAATTGAAGGAAAAACTAGTGCCCACAATAATCTGGGGCTAGGCTCTTGGATCAGTACCTGATGCTGAATGTCATCTGCTATTCCTTGCACAAGGAATAACTCTAGACTGCTAAAACAGAGAACCAGGTTAGCTCTGAAGAATCATATCAGAATTCAATGACTGCACCTACCCTAGCTCTCTATTTTCCTTTTAACCCTCAACCCCAACTTCTATCATTACCTCTTTAGATGCATAGGTACCAAATCCCAGTATAGGGATGAAGTGACCATCACTTAGTCGTACTGTCTGCTGCTTAGAATTCATGGCTTCTGTGTCCTCCTACTGAGATTATACTGTACTGGCTTCATTCCCAGGACAGCAAATAAATGCTTTCCCTTGACCAAGCTGTCCTTGTAATGAGTAACCAATGAAGCTTGAGAGAAAAAATAAAAGCAGCTTTGCACATTAAAAGAGGAACAAGTTCTGTTTTAAATTTTTGTGGTTTATTTATTGTTATCTTATGTTTATAGAGTTTTTTTCCTACATCTATGCCACATACTACATTCATAACTGATGCCCGTGGAGGTCAGAGAAGTGCATACAATCCTTTGAAACTGGAGTTACTGAGTTGTTATCTGACATGAGGGTGTTGATGATCAAACCCAGGACCTCTGGAATAACAGCCAGCACTCTTAATCTCGGAGCCATCTCTGCATCCCTAAATTTTAATAAATGAGAAATTCTTAAGATAATTATAAAGCTGGAAGGCAGCTCAGTGGCAACAACCTTGCCTATCATGTGTATAATTCTCAGCTCATTCCAAACACCATAGAGAAAACAAAAGAGAAGGGAAGAGAGCCGAGAGCAAGGGGAGGAAGATCATGGAAGGAAGGAGATTACCGATGGTTCCAAACTACTAATTTTTTATAATATGTCTTTATTGGAATCTTCCATGTATTCTTTTAAATTATTACAAATGAATGAACTTTGCTGATTATATCTTTATACCTGTTTCTTTACTAGCTTTGTAATGGTGGTGGTTGTTTAAATTCTGTGTATTAAAGCAATTAGCTATCTTATAAAAAACACTTTTTCATATATATATATACATATATATATAATTTTAATATTACTAAACGTTAAAATTTGTTATCAAGTGTTAGAACTGAAAAGATAGAGAATTGGACACATCCATTTGTTAAGTACATCCTGTATCTTCCTTCTGTGTATCTGATTAGAATACCCTGTGACACCACTGCAGTTCTTATAAATATGAGGTGAAAATCATCACATTACTGAAAGATAAAAGTTGTGTCCAAACTATTTTTTACCAGCAAACAATTTACAACATACACAAATGAATCATAAAGCTATTAATGAAATTCTTGAAACTCAGTAAGTACACCTAAGTGCCTATGGCTTTATAATGACTTAGATTTAGATTTAAGATTAGATTTAGATTTAGATTTAGATTTTAATGACTTAGATTTTTATAATGATTTCCAACTTTTTAATTTCTGGAAAATATTAGGAGAGGAATCTGCTGTCTCAGAGTAGAACTAAATCTCTGAGTGACCAATCCATTTCTAATACACATCTATTGCCCCGAATTTTTGGTTCATGCATATCTACCTAATCTACATACCTATAGATACCTTTTAGCCTAATATCATGATAGACAAAGACATGAACTCTCTATGGATATGTTAATATCAGAAAGGGAATAGAGAATAAAAAGAAATTTACAAAGATTTGTCTACAATTGACTGAGACTTGAAAAATAAATGGTGATGGACTCTAACTTTGCTAAGGGAAAAGAGTTTCCATGGTGAAAAAAAAATTCCACTCAAAAAATGTCCTGAAGATATTTTTACATAAGTGTAGAATATCATCATTACCAAAACAAAATAGTTAACAAATATTGCTCAACTGTACCGACGTTTCAATGTTATTGATCTTCCCTTGTTTGATCATAGGCCTTTGAAGTTGGTCCTAAAGTTGTGGATGCAACCATGACAAGAAAATTACAAAGCACACAATTGAAATACTTCTCTATGTATAAAATGTAAAGACTAGAAATAAAAACACCATACAGCTTCCTGTGCTTTTTTCTGTTTTATGAAGCCAAGGCTCCACTCAAGCTAGACTCCAAGTCATGAACATTCTCCTGTTTCAACTTCACCTTTCACAATAGCCAAAAAAATATCAAATATCTTGAACTAGCCCTAACTAGTAAAATGAAAGACTGATATGACAAAAAGCTTCAAGTTTTTAAAGAAGAAATTGAAGATAGCAGAAAATAGAATGATCTCCCATGCTCATCAATATAAGCATAAGGTAGTTTTACAACATAAACATTTAGAAAAACAAAATCAGTTGATGCTCCTCTAGGGACTATGACTTTGTAGTAGTTAATAACACCATTTTCCTCTGCTCCCTGGTTAGCATCTTCCAGTACTGTTAAAGCTAACTAGTGGGTAACAATTTCCCTCGACAGTTGAAAACTAATTTCTCTATGTCCTGTAGTCAAAGTATATGGTGTATTCAGTAACACAGCCTTACCATCTAGTTAGAGACGACATGAAGAACAATGGCAACAGGTTGCTTCTAAGAATTTCCTGAACAATAATTCCTATGAAGGTAAACTGTACTAAGCAATGAGATTTTCATTTAATGACCTGTATCTGTATAGCTAACTTCATGGGTTATTGCTGTTCAACCTTATTTCTTTATATTTTTTATTTATACCTTTAATTAGCTTTCATACTAGGGGGGGTTTATAAGACTTATCCCTACATCCTTAATGTATGTTAATATTCTTTCTACCATTCTTTTTTTCTGTTGCCTTCCCCCTTTCCCAATTCAGTTTCCAGTATCCCTCTCCAATTCTTTCATTTCACATGGTTGACTCTCCCATTTATGTTTTTATTTGTTTTGCACAATTTTAAGACACAACTAGTTTCTTTATGCATATTGTATTTTGTTTGGCCCTTCCCCTGAAACCAAATTTCTCCTTCCCCATTATTGTACTATATGTTCATACCTTCCTGTCTCCAGTATTTTTCCCCTCTAATTTCCCTAACATTTTACCATTCACCTTTCATAAATACAAACTACTTCCAGTGACCTTTCTAGTTTTTAGCTTCTATGTGAACTCTAGGTTAAGCACCCAAAACAAGATTTGACAATAAGGAGAGAGAGCATGCAACATTTTCCTTTTGTGGCTTTGATGACCTCATTTAGTATAATTTTCTCCAGTTTTATCCATTTACCTGACCATTTTATGATTTTATTAGACTATACAAAAAAAATATGCTTAGATCTTATAAGTTTTTTGCAAAGTAATAGGATGTAAGTAATACTCAAAGACCAGTAATCTTCCTATGGCAAACACATTGGAAAAGATTTAATGGAAGCAAATCCATTTACAACACACATGCAAACACACACACACATGCTCAAACCTACACATGGGGGGGGATAGGGGAAAGATGCATACATGCATGTGACCAAATATCTAGAAATAAATCTAACCATGGAGATTTCTACTATGAAAACATTAAGACACTAAAGAAATTGATGAGTACAGTGAAATATTAAAAGACCACCCATGGCTTAGAGGAAATAATATTGTAACTATTGCAATCCTACCAAAAGCAGCCAACAGATTCGATACAATCCCAATTTAGTTATCAGGACCTTCATAAACATAAAAAATAACAATCTCAAAAATGTTATAGTAATACAAATGACAAACAATCAACAAAAATATCTTAAATATAAAGAATATGTTCAAACTGAGATATATATATGTATATATGTATATGTACATGTATATATATATATATGACTGAGTATTGGTATCTAGAATATAGAGATAACTAAAAGAACTAAAGACCAATGAATACAAATGTCCCAAATGGGTTATGGAATTGAAAAGAAGTTTCTTGGGAGAAGAACTGCAATTTGCTAGTAAATACTTTTAAAGTCTCAATTTCATCATCTACCATGGAAATATAGATTAAAAATACTGTAAGGTTCCCTCTTATCCTAGTCAATACAGTCATCATGAATAACAGAGATAACAGTAAATGCTGACTCAGGATGTAGGGAAAAGGGAGCCCTTACATATTATTAATTGGAGTGAATAAGTGTTGTAGACCTTGTTGTTCTCCGGGCGTGCCAAGATCAATGTCCATTGAACATACAGCAATTGTAAAAGACAGAGCTGTACTGGGCCATATAACATTCAGTTACATATGTAAGGAGGGACTTCTGAGGCTCCACTCTCCCCAAGAATATAAAGGCAGTTACTGGTCTCTGGAGGGAAAAGAGTTAGTTTTTTAATTAATTTTTTCATACAATATATATTTATTATGTTATTATATTATTTCTTCTCTGACTCTGCCCAGATCCTCCCAATCCACCTACCCATCCAACTTCATGTTCTCGTCTTCTCCCCCCACCCCGGAAAAAATAAAAAGTAAAAGTAAAAACTAAGTTAAGATTAAAAATAATGAACCCACAAAGCTACACACAGACACACACAGAGAGAGAGAGAGAGAGAGAGAGAGAGAGACAGAGAGACAGGTACAGAGACACAGAGAGAATCTTGTACCTACTAGTAATGTAAGAAGCTACATTTCTATAGTGCCATGTACAAGACTGCCTAAACCTGAGCCAAACATGGATTACAGCAATAGGCATGCTACATTGGACAGAAAAAGGTTCACAAAGCCTCAACCATACAAAAAGAGGCAACTTAAGAAAGTTGGGAGAATGACAGATGGTCTTTCCCAGAGACAATGACAACCTGTATATACACTTTAATATATACAAATGTATATATGTAGCATTATCTTTAAGAATACATGTGTATATGCATATATGCATGCAATAGTAATTAGTTTACAAAGAAGATATGAATTTGCAGGAGAGTTGGAAGGGTTATATTGAAGGGTTTAGAGCATCTGTTCACAACCTGTGGGTCATGACATCTTTGTGAGTCAAATGACCCTTCCACAGGGGTTGCCTAAAACCATGGGAAAACACAGATATTTACATGATGATAGCAAAATTATGGTTATGAAGTGGCAACAAAAATAATGTTAAGGTTGGGGATCACCACAACATGGAGAACTCTATTAAAGTGTCACAACATTAAGGAGATTGACAGCCACTGGTTAAAAAAAGAAAAGAGAAGGGAGAAATATTCTAATTATAATCTCAATTTGTAATAAAAAAATAGAAAGTAAAAAATAAGAAGGAAAAGAGAATGCTTTCATAGGTCCTATCCAGGAAAGACACAGAGAGCACACCAATGTCTCCCTACAGTGGGCTTTAAAACACATGAAAATTGCAATCTACAGAG